AACTTCCAGCAGGGAGATTTACAGTATGGAACTGGAGGAAGATCCCCACATTGGATTTTGTTGGTGTGGTCAGATCCATGTGCTGCTGTTTTTCCTCTGCTTGTGCATGCCCTGCCCAGTGTGCTGCCAGATTTGTGGGAGGGCTCAGGCTCCTTCCAGTTTCCTCTCAGCAGAAATTCCATCCTCAAGCCAAGATGCCCTTCAGCAAGAAATTGCTTTAAAATATTAGATTTTCTCTAAAAGGCTTCTGTTTTTCAAAACTGGAGGTTTTCTGATTAAAAAAAAAGGAAAAGAAGGGGGAGAGGAGGGGTAAGACATTGTTAAAAAGCTTCTTCCTGTTCTAGTTAGATTTTTATTTAGTTATTTCATTATTTTAATGAATGAACAGGAGGTTCACTGTGCTCAGTAGACAGAGAAGGGGTAGGGTCCTCCACAGGGACTTGAAAGCCTTGAATTCCCAGAGGCATTTTGGCTTGAATAAGAGCCTTCTTCCTTGTGGATGACTGGCAGCTCCACAAACAAGAGGGTCAGCTTCCTCCTCCCCCTCTCTGCCCCTTTTTTATTTTTTCTTTTTTTTCAATTTTTTCCCTTTTCCCCCTCTTTTTTCCTCCTTTTTCTCTCTCTTTTTTTTTTTTTAATAGAAATGTGCTCCAGTTTCTCCACTCATCTAACTTAAACTCTTAAACTTCTACACAAGTTTGGGTTTTTTCCTCTGCCCAGTCTCAGTGGTGGCTCCCTGTAGAGTTCACAGAACCACGGAATGGTTTGGATTGGAAGAGACTTTAGGGTCATCTTCTTCCAACTCTTGCCATGGGCAGGGACATCTTCCATCAGACCAGGTTGCTCCAAGCTGTTGATGTTCTCCAATTCTTAGTCTTTTAAAGAAAATATCTTTTCATGAGGAAGATCTATCTTCTCGGAGGTGGATCTCCTCAATTCCAAGCACCCAAAAGCTCTTCCCTGTGTTTAAGGTGGAACCTTTCTTTCTTGAGGTGGAACCTTTCTTTCTTGAGGTGGAATAATCTTTCTTGAGGTGGAATGAATCTTTCTTGAGGTGGAATCTTGAAGTGGGCTCTGCTGTGGTTTCAGCTGCTCTGGGAGAGCTTTGGCACAGTGGGTTTGTCGTGAGCCCGGTGCAATCCTCACACGTGGATGTGAATCCAGAAGGGAATATGAAATCCATCTGTTCCCACCTGAGCTGTGCTGGGGTGAACTGCAGCACGCTCCAGCAGCAACATTTGGGTTCCTTCACGGGAAAGCTCCTGAGGATGCACACATTGGAAAGGACCCAAATTCACCCACGTTGATGGAATGTGTGCTGTAAGCTCATCCCTGTAGGAATGGAGCCCTAATCCATTCAGCAGTGGCATTTCCTCTGACCCATTCCCAGTTCAAAGCAGGCTTCTCTCCTTCCAGTTCCTTCTGAAGCTCCCTGTGGGTTCTGGGTGCCAGGGAGGATGCTGGAGGGGTGGGTTTGCTTAGGAAGGGTTCTGCTGTTTCATCCCAAGGCTGGGAGATGTAGGTGGATCTCAGGGATGCTAATCCTGCTTGGGATGGGCTGACAAGGACTCCAGGAAGCAGCACAGTTGGAGGATGGCATTTCAGGACTGCTGTCAACTGAGGTGACCCCAGCAGCTTTGCTGGAGCAAAATCCTTCTGCTCTGTTGGCTCCGTGGGCTGCCGGGGAATCAGCTGGCTCTGGCCTTGCATTTTCTTGGCTTTCATGGAGCAGACCTTGAGCCAAGAGTGTTGTACTGCCCCTGCTTCCCAGCTGGGTCCAAAGGAAATGTGAGGGGGCAGCTGAAGCTCATGGTGCAGCATTTCAGCAACCCTAGGGAGTGTATGTGGTAAAAATAAGAATTTAATACGGTCTCACACATTGAACCCTCTGTTTTGCCTGCAGGCCTCAGGCAGGGTTTGGGACACACTTCTATAGAGCCAGCTTAATTATGTAATTTAAATCAATGTTAATTATAAATATATTGAATGTATTTATATATCCTATCACTCTATAAATATTAATTATATTACTTTTAATATATAATATGAGGAATATTAATTACATGGTTGAGCTTGATGATCTGAGAGTTCTTTCCTAGCCTTTCTAATTCTGTGATTAATAATCCTATTAAAATATTGAAACCTCAGGAAAAGGGAATATGCAAATGCAGTGATAACCAGATCAATGCAGTCTCTCCCTGGCCAGTCCTGATTTTTAAGATCTTAAGTGTTGATTATCAGTTCTAAGTTCAAATCACACTCTGAATCCTGATACAGTGCTGATCTGCTTTTTGGGAGGAAAATGGGCAATTGAGATAGGCTGAATTTCCTGGTCAAATGATTTCTTTAGTTCATACAAATGGTACCATGCTGGGAGGTGTCTCCTGGCATATGTGTGATCAGCAGGAATGAAGTAGGTGAGAAATTCCTGTTTCTAATATAGAATTGAGAAAGTCCTTGTAGGAGGGTTTGGTAGGAGTGTGTGTATAGTTAAACCTCATAACATCTCCTACAGATCCTACAATAAATAAAATAAACTTCCTGAGCCTCTCTGCTTTCCTGTGCCACTGCAGTAAATAATGCTTTGTCTGGCCTGGGGAGTTGCAGCAAAAGAGACTTGGCAGAGCCTTCAGTTAACCAAAACTAATCCCTAAATTGGAAAATCTGTCCCCTGTGATACGAATTTCAGTGCTGTTTTAAACAAGATTAAATCTTCAAGCACAGGAGTGGGTAAAATCCGTGAGCCAGCATCACGGATGAATCAAACACTGGCTTTTCTGCAGCAGATTCCTTTAATATGTGAATTGGGTTTTTTCCCCCAAAACCCATAACCTGGAGCTGGTTTTGCTTCCACCTGGCATGAGGTAGGGATTGGGGATGTGCAAAAGTGGTGGAGAATGTGTGTAAAACACTGTTTTATATATTTATTTATTATTAAGGATTCTGTTATTTTAATGAAAATTTTAAAATCCTGGCAAACTACAACTTGGTAGAATGTCTCTGTCTTCATTAATTTCCTTTTGGGGCCCTTCTGATTGTGTCTGTTGATCACTGAATCAGAGAATGGTTGGAAGGGACCTTAAAGATCAAATATTCTGTGTTTTTTTCTGGAAGCCCACTGAGAAATGTGCCTGAACTCACTGAAGGATGCCTCGAGACAGAAAAATTTGCCTGGGTTTTCACAAAACCAGCAGGGCATGGCAAGGGCATCCTCAAGGACAGACCCAAAATAGCTTTTGGAGAGCTTGCCACAAGCTCTGCTGCTTGCATGTAAATAAGGGGGGAAAATTATGTTTATATATACAGGGGGGAAAGCTCAAATGTTTTAAAATGTTTTTCTTGGCTTGTTTATCAAATCAGTGTCACCCAGTGCATGAGTATCAGCAAAGCTCAGTCCAGAGTGACCTTTAGAGATCTGGAGGGTGGGATTTTTGTAGAAATTTTGGTCTTTGACATAAAAGGTACCTAAAACCTCCCTTGCCTTGGAAAACCCCAAATGTATGTGGGAATATAACCCATATTTAACTTATATGTGCAAGGAGGTGATAGACCCAAATGGAGAGGGGGAGAGAAAATCCCAACAAACAATGGGGAAATTGAGGTTTGAGATCTTGGGGATGTGCAGACTGGAAGGCATCCAGAAGGAGGGGAATGGTTTGGGTTGGAAGGGACCTTAAAGCCATCCATTGCCACCCCACCATGGGCAGGGACACCTTCCACCATCCCAGGCTCCAAGCCCTGTCTAGCCTTTGGAACACTTCCAAAGTTCCAGGGACAGCCATAGCTTTGCTAGACAAAACTGGGTATCTTGATCTGGGTTATACAGCCAAGAATTTTGAATTTCTAGCAGAAAACATAATTTTTGGCATAGAAAAAAAATGAAATAATTCCATCCCTTCTTATTGCTTTATTTTGGCTTTTTTTTTTTTTCCTATGATGGAGGATACAAGGAAGTGCTCTATCACAGAATTAGTATCCAGGGTGATGCATAAGAAAAAATAGTCACAGTTAAAAATAATTATAAAAATAAGTCACAGTTAAGTAGGTAACGCTAGCCCTTAGCATGGAAAGGGAGGCAAAAACTAGTATTTTTTAATGTTTCTATTGTCACTGTATTGGTTACATTGTTTTGCATAATTGAAAAGCTGGGAGAGTTCACTAGAGAAAAGAACATTTTTCAAAAAGATGAATGTTTGCTCAGGGTCTGGAAGGGAATTATAGTGGTAGAGTTGCTCATAGTCTTTTCCAGTCTTCATCCTTCCTTGCTCATTGTGAGAAGAGAGGATTTGTTTGAATATTTTCCCTGCAGAATTTATTTCAGTGTTTTCCCTGCTGAGATGAAAACACCTGTGGACTGTTTAAGGGCAAGGAGTAAACTAACCAGGAGCCCGTGGAGATGGTGCTGGTGAGAGGCAGTTTGAAGACACAGATCGATGTCCTTGTGGTTTGGGATTTTACCCATGGTGTTGGAGCAGGGCACTGAACAGATTTATTTGAGGGAATTCTTTTGTGTGTTGAGTAGAATTTGAAATGCTCCTGAATGCTGGTGCTGGCGTGGTCTGTTTGCAAAACACTTGAAATATGTAGTGGTGGTGGGAGGAATAAATGGTGGGGATGGGTGGTTTGGCTCTGCAGGATCTGAGCACCTCAGGGGAAGGAATAAGGAGTAGGAACATCCCTAATCCGCTGTGTAATCTTCACCATATGATAACTCCTCAGTCATTTAGGCTAAACCCAAGGGAGGGGAAGGTGCATGAGAATGGAAAAGTGAATTAAGCAATTGCCTGGAAATAAAAAACCCACCTAAACAACCATCAACAAAAAACCTTCACCAAACAAAACCCCAGCTCCCTATCTGGAAATGTCCCCTCTGCCCAGGGCTGGGGAAATTTTGGAACATTTCCAAATCTGCCTTTGGAAATACCTCTTTACTCCACTGAGTCTCCCCAGCTGGGACCAAATGGGATCCTGTTGACACCGACCTCTCTTTTCCTCCACAGTGGGAGCGCCTCTGGTTCCTCATCCTCACCTCATCCTTCTTCCTCACCCTGGTCTGGTTTTACTTCTGGTGGGAAGTTCACAATGACTACAATGAAATCAACTGGTGAGTAGAGCTTCCCTTAGGAAATTTGGTTGCCATCATGAACCTGCTTGACACAGCTTTGGGTTCATCTGGATCCTTTGGATGGAACTGTAACGATGAGAAGGGGAAAATGGGGTGGGAAGTGGGACTCAAGGAGAGCTGCTTCTGCCTGGTCTGTGTGTAGATGTAACGTGGCCTCACGTCTCCACTTCATGGCCGGGTTTTTGTTTGTTTATCTTGATGGTTGGCTGGATTTGAAAGTGACTGAGGGATTTGGCTGCAGCTATCCCACAAAATATCCATGGCAAAAATTCAGCCTGAAGCACATGGGTGTGGAAAATATTATCCAAAGTTGGAAGGAGCTGAAAAGGAGCTCTGCAGTGGGATGTGCTGGAATTTAGGGTGTTGCCAGCTGCCTCCAGTGCTGGAAATTATTCTCCCTTTTATTATCGGCAGCATCTTAAAACATTTTGACAGCACCTTGGGCTGTATTATAACCAAACTGCTTTGACATCATCTTCTTGTCAAACATAAGATGTAAAGTGTGTTTTAAAACACAGTGGGGAGCTGATCCCTTAAGTAAATCATCTGCTTTAGATGCTGGAGCTGTGTGAGGGAGGGTGTTTACCAACATGGTGATGCGAGCTGGCTCCTCCCAGGAAAAAATGGGTTTTTTCTCTTTGCTCACACCCACACTGTGAGAAGTGAAACCAGCACCATGGCTCTGGATTTTTTGTAACAGCAGCATGATAAAAATGCCTTTTTTAAAGTGGTAGTTTGGAACGCCTTTCTTCTTTAGTTTGTACCCTCAGTAAAGGATGTGATTGCTCCAGTGCAAAACCAGCTCTGTCTGAGCTCAAAGTTGTGAAAGGGCTAAAAACACTCCTTCAGAAATGAAGGAAAGTTCTGGGAATGCTGGGAATGGTCACTGCAGCTGCAGTGCTTCCAGGATTTGGGTCCCCAAATATTTTTGCAGGAATGTGGGGAGATATGCTGGTCTGCTGTGGATGCAAGAGGCATTTGGGATTTAACACAGATGTCACCTGCAGCCCAAAGCCCTGTCCCTGCCATGCAGCCCAGGGTACTGGAAGCACATCCACTGGGAAAGGATTCCTCTTGTGCAGCACACGTCTGGAAGAGGCTCTCTGGATGGAAAACAGCATTTCAGGCCATTCAGTGCTGAAAATTGGTCAGTGCTTTGTGTGTGCTGTAACCCCAGTCAGATCCCTGCTCCACACACCCCCAGAGGTCGAGCAGGGTTTCTGGAAAACAGCTGTGGAAAGGCTGGGTGGGAGGAGGAGAGCACAGGGTGAGGTTTTAATTACAGCTATGCCAGTTCCAGGCAAGGGGGAGAAATAATTTCCATTGGGTCTGTGCAGGCTGAGCCTGACCCTCTTCCCTTCCAGCACAGCTGCATGGGCTCCATGAAAACAGAGCAGATTTGGACCAGGCAGGGTGTGAAGGACTTGAAAGCATCATTTTATTCCCAGAAGAGCTGTGAACCTGTTGCTCATGAGGCACAGTGAGGTCCTGGTGTTTAGGAACAGCGCCTTTGCTATTCCTCTGTCATTATCACTTCTGGGTTGTGCTTTTGGACAAGATTTCTTTGCTGCTTGGTCCTGCTGCCTTCCTCTCTGCTCCACTGATTTGTTGGCAAGCTGGGAGCTCCCCCCGAGGACAGGAAGGGCTCTTTGGGGCATGGCACACCGAGCTGCTGCCAGGGCCTTCCAGAGGAACTGGGAGAAGGAGTTGCTGTGGTATTGGTGTGAGGAGCTGCTGAGCTTCCTCCTGCCCTCCAGAGCTCATCCCTGGAAGCTCTGCTAGCTCCTGTCACCTTCAGCCTGTCCCACCAGGTGGAGAGGGGCTGGAGGTGTCTGTCCAAGCAGCCCATTGCCAGCAGCAGGATTGGAGGAAGACTTCTCCCCTCTCTGGGACTTGTTCCAGCTCTGCACCATCCTCTAGGAGGAGGTTTTTCAACCCAAACCTCTGAGGGCCTGACTCTCTGCCATCCTTGAGGAGGTTTTTCATCTTTTCATCTGTGTGTCAGGCAGCTTGGGCAGCAGCTAGGTCATTTCAGCTTGTAAGGACCAAAGGGCTGTTCTGGGATTGTTTTAGAAGGACAAGGCAAAATGGCCTTGCAAAGCCCAGCATGTATTGCTTCAGGCTTTTAACATTGAGGTCCTTGTTAGTGAAGGTGCTTTGTGCCTCTTAAGTATTTTTTTTTAATTTATTGCTTTTTGGCATTTCCCTTTTTGGTGTCTACACTTGATTGTATTACAGTTCAGATCTGCACTGAGTTTTGTGCTGCACCAGAAGGCTTCACTTTAGCTCAGGCAGGCTGTGGGGAATGCTCTATTTGTGAACCTGCCCGTGTTCCCCTGGAGCAGGACCATAAATCCAAGTCTGTGTAGCACATTTTCCTCCTTAGGTCTGGAGAAAGCTCATCTGCTTCATAACTACCACGGACCCAGCATTTTCAAACAATCATTTGCACATCAAGTGAAGGCCTGGTGCTCTCAGAGGGGCATTGAAGGGACATCAGAGCAAAACTTAAATGGGCTGAGAGCTAAGGAAGCTCTGGGTGGTGGCATCAGCAAAGACTTCAGAGGAGCCCTCTTTCCTTTCTTCCTTCTTTTTTCCTAACAGCATGTCTGAGTCCCTGCAGATCCTTGGTTTTGTGCTCTTTGACTGAGCAGAACCTGGACATGGGCCATGCCTGTTGAGCCCAAGGATTTGCTTTCCAGATCCCACGGGGGAACTTTACTCCTGGACAGAATTAGAACCAAAGAATATCTTGAATTATATCATGGAGTCCAGCTCCTGGCTCTGCACTGGACATCCCCAAAAATCACCCCAGAGTTTGTCCAAACAGGCCAAAGGTTCTGGCTGATGAATGATGCTGGACTTGAGTGCTGGGGAGGAGATTGAATCTTTGACCTGCTTTTATATAATGCAGCATTTCTTTTTGTTGTACACAAAAGAAAATAAAAAGGCATCAAGAAGCAAAAAGGCAAAAAAAAAAAAAAAACCCAGTCAATTCCTTGAATGAGCTGCTTCCACCCCAGAACCATCCTGTCCTTGTTGTGCCAAGGGTTTGCATGGAGATAATGTCCACCCTCATCCAAGCCAATTTAGGGATGTTGTTTTGTTTTTGTTTTTCCTAAAAATCCAGAGGAAAAATTTGAAAATTTGAATCCAGGTCAGGTCTGAACTGTCAGAAGCTGCAAGAAGGGTTCTGGGGTTTCTCTGCTTCTCTTGATCCAGTTAATTACCATAAGGGATTAAAGCACTGGGTTGTCACTTGTGCTTTTTGCTGCCTATCTCTTTTTTTGGAAAGATTTGTTTTCTCAAGTCTTGTCTAACCCCAGTGGAGCTGTTTTGGTGTTGAATCCCTTCTTAATCTGTCCTTCCCACTTCTCCTCCAGGTTTTTATATAACCGAATGGGATATTGGAGTGACTGGTCCATTCCAATCCTTGTAACAACTGCTGCTGGCTTTACCTACATTACAATGTTGCTGGTGAGTAGAATGAAATCCCATTTCTTAGAGCTTTGTGTGCTGGCTTTAAAAAGGCCACAAGCTTCTCAAGCCCTCCAAAAGTTGAGGAGTTTTCTTTTAGAAGTGATTCCTCTCTCATTCTATTTCTCTTAGCCTGAAGTTGCATAAAATCAAAAGTGAGAAATTGAGTCTTTGACCTCAGATGCTCAAAAGTAAAATACAGATACCCTCAGAGGAGGAATACAATTTTGTTTCCCGTGGTATGGCCCAGTTTCCACTTCTGGGTGCAAGTGGCAGTTGTTTCCCTTCGTGCCAGGGTGCTGCGACCCTCAGGGTGGTGTCCATTCAGGTGGCCACTGCTTCCTGCAGCCCCAGGAGCTGTGGGCCAGACTCTGAACTCCCTGCCCCTTGGAGAGCAAAGCTTTTCCCCACATCCTTGGCTTCGGAGAGTATCTGCTGGCCCACCCTGCCTCCGCTGCTGCTGGCTCGTGTGGTTGTCCCCTCGGATGGTGACGTGTCCCTGTGTGCTCAAACACTCCGGGGTGGTGACGTGCCTCTGTCTGACTCTCTGTTTGTCCCTCCCAGATCCTGGCACTGTGTCACATAGCTGTGGGACAGCAGATGAACCTGCACTGGCTGCACAAGGTAAATCTCAGCTCCAGTGGGAGCAGGATCTCAGGAATGCTGGAGCATGAGGAGCAGGCAGGGGGTGGCACTTGCTGTCACTGTGTCCTTGGGAAGAGCATGAAGTGTCTGTGGTGCACGTGTGACCTCATGAGCAAACTGCTCAGGAGAGGCCATCAAAGCCTGGGGGCAGAGAATTTGGTGACCTTGCTGATAGAGAGGCCACCTGTGGAGATGGAGAAACACCAGTGCTTAGAGCAGCCTGATTCAGTCCCAGCTCGGGTGCTCCAGGACCCTCCCTGGGGCTCCTTGGTGTGCTGAACCCAGCCCTGGAGAGGGGCTGAGCAGAGGTGAAGCTGTTCAGAGTGTGCTTGGAGGGAGCAGCTGGGAAACCTTGGGAGAAGATGATGTAGATGTTGAAGCTGAGCGTATGCAGGGTGAGGTTTGCTGGGCCCGAGGAGATTTGTGTGTAAAGCAGTTTGAGAAACATCACTGTGAAACACAAGAAAATATATTTGGAGCACAGAAAGGGAGGGGGAAGGGTGTGCAGGGAGAGAAGGTGGGTTGGCAGGATCCCATTGTAGCTGGCAGTCTGCTAACTGGAAATGAAGGGAGCAGGCCTGAATCTGCCAATACACAGCCCTCCTGAAATTCTGCACATGATGAGGTCTTGTAGGATCAGAGCCTGAACACCTCCCAGGACAGGGACAGCAGACACTTCCCCACCCTGCCTCCTTCTTTTCCTTTTTTTCTTTTCCTTAGAGAGGATAGAAATTACGCTTCCCCGGGGAAGAGGATGCAATCAGAGAGGGGGGCAGGGACTGTCTGACTGCTGCTGCAAAACAAATTATCAATTCTTGAGTCTGACATATGTTCTTCATCAGGGAAGATGGTATTTTTCAGACACACTGGTGGGCTCAGATGAGTAAGTCCAGAAGAGGGATGTATTGGTGATCAGTTCTACTCTCTGGACTCCCACCCTTCCTCCCCTTCTTCCAAAGAAGTCCCCTTTTCATCACAACTCAGATGTGTGGCTCTGTCTCTTCCCTTCCCCACACCTCCCTCAGCTTCCTAAGGAGGTTGAGACACAAGACTGGAATAATTTAATATTTTTTCTCAGAACTATACTGAATTAACTTCAAATATAGATTAAAGTGTGTGGGAAAGGCTGGGATGGACAAACCACACAACTCCTTCCAGTTTTCTCCTGTAATTCTGTGCAGAGGGTTGTAAGCCAAGTCAAAGATGAGTGTGAGAAGAAGCAATAAATTGAAGCTGATCGGAGGAGTGGAGATTTGTGTCCTGACACCTCTGTGCCACCCAGGATGGTCACACCAAAGGGAATTAAGGTTCTAGAAAAAGAAATCCTCTTTACATGTACCAAAGTGATTCTGTAAACGTTGGCGATGTGGGATTTTATTTGTTGGTCTGAGGTATTAAACCTGAAATCGGCCTGGAGGAGCCCTGTGCACCTGATGTGATCTGTCCATTTCTGGGGATCGATTTTCTGCCAAGTCTCCCCTGCATATTTTGGATCTGCTGCAGCAGTTTTTGGATCTGCAGCAGCATCCTTTGGCTCTGGCAGAACAGAGGCTGAATACCAGACACAGGCAGAGAGTGGGGAATTATTTTTAGACAGACAGCCCAGATTTTCAGTCTTTGCAGCTGGAGTTATTTCCGTGGCACTTTTTGATGGTTTGAACTCTTTACCTTTACCACGGAGGTCACGTTTTCTTTTTGACTGCTTTGCTCAGACCTCTGGGTGCTTCCACGTGAAAGGGGAGGCTGGGGGAGGTCCTGGTGGGCTGAGGTCTGTCACCTCAACGCCACCACCACTGTCCCATCCAGAGTCCCTTCCCCAGCCCCAGCATGTATTCTCACATGACAGCACATAATCCCAATGTCCTTCCCCATGAGTCTTTTTTCAGACCTTTTATTAAATGCAAAGGCTTTCTCTCTCCATTTCCCAACCTATAATATAAATCCCAACCTAATTTTTATAATAACCACAGTCCCCAGCCTGTAAATTCCCTCTGGTTTCTTGCAGATTGGCCTGGTGACAACCTTGATAACTACTGTGGTGACCATGTCATCGATAGCACAGCTTTGGGATGATGAGTGGGAGATGGTATTTATTTCATTGCAGGTAAGTTGTCTGCAAGGATGCTTCCCTGGGAGAGGAAAGGGGCCAGTGAAACTGAATTCCATGGGATTTATGTATTTCTGTAGGGTGAAACTCTCTCTTGATGGTTGTCACACCCCAAATTGAAATATTGGCAATGAGAAAACTGTTTTAAGGAAGACTTGTGATGTCTTGCAGGGCTAGAGAAATATGAAAGGAAAATACCTACAAACTTAATTTCTTACAGATCTGCTCTCTGTTCCCTTTTCCGCCTCTTTCTCAAAAAAAGAAGTCCAAAAATATTTTGCCCATTTTTCTTAAGAGGTGACTGCTGACGTGTATTTGGGAGTATGCAAATCTATGCAAATACAGGGGGTGGAAATGGCATTCACACAAGTGACTAACATTTCTCAGAAGTGCTTTATTTTATTGGGCTATTTTTAAGATTTAGGAAGGGAACTGGAGAGCAGACACACGACTCAGATGATACATCTCCAACTTTGTGTCATGGTGCTGCACCCTGCTGATACAGTCCAGTGTGTTCAGAGAATTCCAGAAGAATTTGAGTGGGAAGAGACCTTAAACTCCATCCAGTGCCATCCCCTGCCAAGAGCAGGGACACCTTCCACTAGCCCATGTTGCTCTAAACCCTGTCCAGCCTGGCCTTGGATATTTCCAGGGATCCAGGGACAGTCCCAGCTTCTCTGGGCACCCTGTGCCAGGGCCTCACCACTCTTATCCTGATTTTTTTTCTTTATATTTAGTCTGAACCTAGACTATTCCTGTTTAAAACCATTCCCTCATGTCCTGTGGCAGCTGACCCTGATAAAAGCTGTCCACGTTTTCTTACAGACCCCCTAAAAGGCCACAATAAGTTGTCCCTGGAGCCTTTTCCAGTTCAGCACCCCCAGCTCTTCCCTCTTGCTCCAGAGCAGAGGGACTCCAGCACTTGCAGCAGCTCTGTGGCCTCCTCTGGACACCCTCCAGCAGCCCTTTTCCCAAATACCTGTTTAACTGGGGGAGAAATTCCCCTAAAAGAAGGTTAGAGCTTTCCTCCTTTCCCTTCATAGCAGCCTAAATGCCAGAGGCAACAGCAGGACTTGGAAGAAGCAATGGTCACAAGAGAACCTGCAAAACCAACAAATTTTCCAGGTGCTGGGGTGTTTTTAAACATATTTTCCTCTCCTGTTCTTGTGCCCTGCAGGCCACAGCCCCTTTCCTGCATATAGGAGCCCTGGCAGCTGTCACAGCACTGTCGTGGTTGGTGGCAGGGCAGTTTGCACGGACAGAGAAAGCCAGTGAGTATCTCCTGTGTCCCTGCAGGGTGGGCAGTGCCTGCTCCTCTTGGGGCTCATTTCCCCCCTTGCTTCTCTTTTTTCCCCCTTGTTTCTCTTTTCCCCCCCCTTGTTTCTCTTTTACCTCCTTGTTTCTCTCTTTTTCCGCCCTTGTTTCTCTCTCCCCCCACCTTGTTTCTCTCTCCCCCCACCTTGTTTCTCTCTTTTCCCCCCTGTTACTCTTTTTTTCTCCCTTTGTTCCTCTTTCCCCCCCTTGTTTCTCTTTTTTCCTTTTCATTTTTTAAAATTATTATTTTTTAATAAGCCAGGAAAGAGCTTCTCTCTTTTTCTCTCTTTCTGTTCCTGGATTGTTTTGTTTGTTTTTAAGAAAAAACAGTGGTATCTCTTGATCATTTCAGACTCATTTGACTTATGGAATTTATCTTACCTGGAAGAGTTTACAGGCTTATTGGTGCAGGCATGATAGTGTTAGAAACAGAAGAAAAAATCCAAAATATCTTTAAGAACCTATAGTCACTTTTAATGGAAAATAGGATTCCAATCTTTTGGAAACATCAGGAGCAGCTGCAGGCCGTGGTGCAAGCCTATTCTTGCCATTTCTTTGTGGCATTTCCGAATTTTTTTTTTTTTTTTCTGAGCAATTTTTATGGGTGTTTTTGCTCTGGTTAAACTGAATTTTCAGAGCCTGGTTGGTGTGTGGGTGCCCCTGGGTGAGCAGGAGCTGGGTCAAGATCACATTCTGTGTCTGCCCAGAGGTTTGGGTGCTGGGGACTTCTTTGAGGTGCAAGACACAGCATGAGGTCCCTTAGCAAGGTGCCACTGAGTTCCTGGAGTGCTCCCTGAGTGATTGACATCTCTGCCAGGGAGGAGGAAAAAACCCCTGGCAGAGTTCCTAGAGTGACTTTCTGCCTTGTGGGAACATATGTGAACGAGCCTATTAGGTACTGGAAGCAAAAAGGAGCCTGTTTATGAGTGAAACCAGATCAGCTGTGGCCAGGAGCAGAGCTGGGCCTAAAAATAAAAAAACCACTGCCTTCTCTAGCTGGCATCCGTTGCAAATATTTATTTTAAGGGGTTTGGTTTGGGTTTTTTTGGTTTTTTTTTTTTGGGGGGGGGGCGGTTTGGGTGATTTTTGGTGGTTTTTTGGTTATTTTTGTTTTTTTGTTTTTTTTTTTTTTGAGGTTATCCCTTGAGTTCCAAAGCCTTAATGAGTTTGCAAAATAAATAGTAATTTAAAACATTTTGAAAATCAAGTTTTCTGCTGTAACATCTGTGGTGTCAAGTGGCTCCAGATATCTTAGGAGTTCAAAGGTGCCTGTTGTTTTTTATAAGGAACACACATCAGTGAGGCACAGGGAGTGGTTCTGTTGCTCTGTCAGCACCTTCCAGAGGTTCCCAGGGAGTCTGGGCTTGGTGGGAAGTCACTGATAGATGGAATTCGAGTGGCATGGGAAGCAGTACTGCTCATCTGGCTCTGTCACAGCCCAGGGATTTATTTAAACATCTCCAGCTTGCTCAGTAAAGCATTATTGCATTTTTCTGATGCAAATCTCAAGGCAGAAGCAGCTGAAGTGGCTTTGCACTGGCTGAAGTGGGTGGTGCTGGTGAGCCACCAATATAAACTTTAAATGCCCTGATGTGGTGACATTGCTTATTTTTGGCTATGTGTGACTGGTGAACGATTTCTCCTGTTAGGCAGGGCAAAATTTGGTGCTGTCCCACCCAAAGGGTGGAAATGCCAACAATGTTTTGAGCTACATTCCTGGGGATTTAAGCAATTGACTTGAATTGTTGTTTCCCCAATACAAAATGAAGTGAAAACCACTTTCAGGACCTGATTTTTTTTTTTTTTAATGTTTTTCCTTAAACACAGAGCTCTGCTCTCTTGCTGGAGGCACTGACAGGAAATCAGTCTCTCCTCTGGAGGAAGACAGAGGAGTCTTCCCTTTGCTCCTGTGCTGTGAGGAGGTCAGGGGCAGCCTTTTCAGCATCTCTTTGTCTCTCCATCCCAGCTTCCCAGATGCTGATGTTCACTGCGTACCTGGCAGTTGTAGTTGCACTTTACCTCGTCCCCCTGGCCATCTCCTCCCCCTGCATCATGGAGAAGAAGGCCCTCGGACCTAAGCCAGCCATCCTGGGGCACCGTGGGGCACCCATGGTAAGTAGTTGTGGGAATCCAGAGCTTCCCTCTGGCTGCCCTGGAAGGTCTGGGACCCTGGCAGGGGTCAGGAACCCCCCTGGACAGAGCCCCCAGAGACACTGTCTGTGATCTCTGTCCATGGAAAAGAGTTTTCAGTCTTACAGGATGAATTACAAGCTCTGAGTGTTTGATATAAATGATAATTAAGTGTGGCATGGGTGCAAAAGTAAAATTTTAGGATTCTAGATTAGGGGTCCAAAGGGGACAAGATGGAGGAAATTGGGTGTGTCTTGTCCTTTTTCTCCTTCTTCCTGCCCTCCATGTTTCACTGTAGTGTTGGCATTTTTCTGTTGGTTTAGGCTGGGGACACACTGTTCAACGTAGGTGACAGATATTGGCACGTTATTGTAAATATAGCACATGTAGTTTCTGGTATATAATGTTTGTAACATCCCACTGAGGGCAGAGCCCCACACGCTGCCCTGCAGGACAGACCTGCGGCAGGGCAGCAGAACATGTTAGAGATAAACAGAATAAACAACTTTGAAACCAGCACAGATGAATTATGGCTTCTTCTTTGGCAGTGGGGCAGAAAGACAGAGACTTTTTACAATCTCAGAATCATCAATACCTCAGATTCCGACAAGTAGTGCCCCTGTGCTGCTGGGCCTGGCAGCCCCCAGGGAATGGGTACAGCTGATACAGCTTGGAGGCACTCCTCCTGCCTGGGATTGCTGTGGATGTAAAGCAGGGCTTGAGCCCAGAGCCAAGTGACACCCCAGGTGTTTGAGGAACAGACAGAATGGCAGTTCAGGCTGCTTCCTGCCACTGCATTCTTTTGACTTCTGGTTTTCATAGAATTGTGGAATCCTTCCCTTCATGTTCTCTTAGGTACTCAAACATTGCCACCATCTGTTGGGGTGGCTCTTTTTCCTTCAGGCTTCTAAAGAGCCTTGGTTTGTGCTGCTTGTGCAGGTGAAATCAAGAAGCACTTGCTTTGCTGCACAGCTTCTTTACATATTAAAAATAAGAGCAGTTAACCTGGCTGCTGGCCTGATTGATAGCAGCAAACCCTCACAATGAACATCTTCTGCCAGAACAGGAGAAGAGCTTGTCTGGGAAATAAATCTGTGTCAGGTCAAGTCCTCTTTCATTAAATCAAGCTTTAGCTTTCTTGTGTGGGCAGTACAATAATGAGGTCTCATCTCCTGCATCTAGTTATTAAATCCCTAATGGCTTTTGCTTATAAGTTTATCCTCTTGTCCATTGTAGGGTTGGTGGTTTTTTTTTTGTTTTGTTGTTGGTGGTGTTTTTTTTCTGGTTTGTTTTGTGCTGTTTCACTTCCTTTCAGTCAGGTTGAGAAGTTTACTGAAAATTTGGTTCACATAATCCCAGAATGGTTTGAGTGGGAAGGGACCTTGAAGACCATGGAGTTGTGAGCCCCTGCCATGGGCAGGGTTAGTTATGGATGCTCTCTAAAATACAGGGATTAAAGACACATTTTATTTTATGCTTTAAACAGAACTCTTATTGCCTTGGCATGTTACTCACCTGGCATGCTGGGACACTGAAATCCAATGGCCTGGCAGATCCCACACTAAGCCCCACATAGAGAACTTCCAAAGGAGTTAGTTTTACACAACAGAAAATTCCATTTCTTAGGTACCACTTTAATCCTGCCTTGTGGGGTTTTTTTGTCCAATTCATGGCACACAAGGAGATTAATACTGGAGAGATAAAGAAGAAAAAAAAAAGAAATTAAAATGATGGCTATATTTCCAAAAGGGCAAGAAACTATCCTTAAATCTTGTTGATGAAGCAAAAGATCAGATCCTTTAGTGCATAATCATAGAATCCCAGAATGGTTTGGGCTGAAAGGGACCTTCAAAACCACCTTGTTCCAGCCCCTTGCCAAGGCCAGGGACACTTTCCCCTAGACCAGCCAGAGATTTGCAGTGGCTGCAATTAATTTGGAATAAAATTTGGTTCTTCTGTCCAGGCTTCTTCATCATCCTCCCCACCAAATGTTGCCATGAGTTTCTTTTTTAAGGCCTGACTAATCAAGGGAAAAACACAAATGTGGTGATGTCCAGCTGCAGCCAGGTTGAGCTGCTCTAATACAGTTTCGTAATCTTCTTTAAGGAAGGTCCCCAAAGCTCCTGTCTCTGTTTGAAAGCATCTGCAATGGATTTCTAAGTACAAAAATAACCAAAATTAGTTCATTTGTGGTGATTTTCTAGAAATTACTTGCTGTGTTGCTGCAGCAGGAGGAAATGAATAGTAGCCTGATTTTTGCAGGGGATGAGTCTCTCAAACCAAGCACAGAGAAGAGGGAGAGCTTTTAGAAATCCTCAGCTGGGTCTGTCTGGCTCTCAGTACCTGGGCATGGTTTATAAAAGAGAGGGGGTTTGGAAATCGTTGCTTTGTGCCCAAAGGTTTCTTTCCCTTAAGGAATTGGTTGTATCCCTTGTTATAAACCTGGATTTATGTTTTAGACATAGTATGCCTGAATATATTGTACCAAGCAGGTATCCCTTAAAAATACCTGGAGAGATACAGAGAGAAATACAAGCAGAAAGATTGTGCTTTTTTTTTTTTTTTTTTTTTTTTTTTTTTTAAGTTACTGCAGCTTGGCTGTAAAGCCTTTTTAAAAAAAGTAACATTAATCTCAACAATTAATTTCTGTAACAGCAGCTACCCCACTTGGATGCATCTTTGCCTTAAACATGCTTAATCTGGGGCTTCAGCTCCCTCTTTCTTGGAGGAATAGACAGGCTGGAAGGATGGAAATTCCTGTATCTCAGATTTTCCTTTCTCACAAAAGCCCTCACCTTTCAGCGTTTATAAACCCCTGGTACAGAGCAATCCTGCCTCCAGAGTGGTGCCATCTCTCGGGATAGGCAGCCTCTGATCTGGGTGGAAAAGGTTAAATTTACTTTCCTGGCTTTCTGGTTGACCTTTGCTGAGTTATGTGATGGGTGTCCGTGGTTTGTGCAGAGGTTCAGCAGCTGCAGAGGGCAGGTTTGGATGGACTCGCTGGGAGAGGCAATTATTTATGTCAGGGTGACAGACTGGGGACTCACCACCTGCTCACAGGGATATCTGTCTTTACCTGAATGGCTCTAATCCCAGAATCACAGGATGGTTTGAGTTGGAAGGGACCTTAAAGCTCATCTCGTTCCTCTGCTCTGAAATGGGCAGGGACACCTTCTATATCCCAGGCTGCTCCAAGCCCTGTCCAGCCTGGCCTTGGGCACTGCCAGGGATCCAGGGGCATCCACAGCTTCTCTGGGCACCCTGTGCCAGGGCCTTACCTCCCTCACAGGGAGGAATTCCTTCCCAATATCCTATATAGCCCTGTCCTCTGGCAGTGGGAAGCCATTCCCTGTGTCCTGTCTGTGTAAAACGTGCTCTCCTTTTTTCCAATCCCACTTTAAGTACTGCAAGGCTGCAGTGAGGTCTCCTCAGAGCCCCTTTTAGGCTGAGATTTCTCCAGAGTCTGCTCTTCTCCAGGCTGAGCACCCCCTGCTCTCCCAGCCTGGTTTGGAGGGGAGGTTTCTTTAGGAGGGTGAACACTGAAGTGCACGGAGAGGATGATTGCAGGGTTACCCTGCAGAAACCTGGGCTGCAGGTTTCATCCAAGATGAGGCGATGGGAGCCAGTCTGGCTCCATTCTCCAGCTCCTGGTGGCTGCTGCTCTCTGCTGACAGCTCTGGGGATGTGAGGAGAGCTCCTCTTGAAGCCCAACCTTGGGTGACCCAGCTGCACGCCGGGGGTGTCGCCTCTGTCCCGGCCTAAACAAGTCTGGCTTTGGTTGGGAGCTGCTTTAGGAAGATAATGTGGCTCTGTGCTGCCTTTGTTGAGCAAACATAAAAATGAACTTGTACTGATGTGTGGCTGGGGCCAGAGGAATTCCGTGCTGAGATACTGGAGCTGGGTGAAGGTTGTGAAATGTAAATTTTAGGGAATTTAGAGATTTTAGAGGAACTAAGATTTTAGTTAGAGATAAGCCTTACTAGAGTTAATTAAAATGAGTGAGTAGGCTTTGATGAAGTTAAGAGTTATTAGTTAACTAATAATTGATTGCTTGTCAGCACAATGGTTTATAATGAAGAATACACAAACTGACAAATAGCTTTTAGGAACATAAGACAATTGTGGGCCTCCTCTGTCATGAAACCAATGGAAGACAAGGAATGGGAGTTCTACCAAGAGTTCATTTGTCATATTTGCATTGAAAAGGTAGAAAGGTCAGAACGAGGAAGACTTCATTGACTTCCTCATTTTGGGACCCCCCCAATGAAAAGGACCACCGACCCATTTCAAGGAACAAACCACGCAGGCTTAATGGCTTTTGAAATTATTAGCATACGAAGCGAGGAATTGAGGTACCAAAATGATGAATATGTATTTGTATTTTGGGTATTCAATACTTGTATGGATAAAAAGACTCTGTAATCACCTGGAAGCTGCGGTGTGTGTTTGGGAGGTATCCCACACACAATAAACATACACTTTCTAACTTTAAACTGTTCAAGAGGTTTTGTCCGTCACAGTTGGATATTGGCACTAGATCAATATCCATATATTTTTAATAAATCAGTTGGGGTGACATTTGCTCTGATTATTTTACCCCAAAACTTTGCTGACCTGAGCCTGTGAAGTGATCAGAAAAAACAAATGTCTCTTACAACCACTCTAAGTGCTTAAGCAAGTTTTTTTATTTATTTTCATTATTTTATTGTTATATCTTGCTTGAATGGTGCAATTGGGCCTTTGTCCCTGATTATTCCCCTTTGCAGGATGTGAATGCTCATTGTGTCCTGATGGAACTGATCCTGGTGGTGGAAAAACAGGGTGTTACAGGTGCTCTAAACCTAAAAAAAGGGGGGGGAAAGTAATTTATTTTTCAAAAATAACCTTATTTTGATGTTATTCAGTGCAGAAAACCTGCCAGGTTTTCTTTCTGTAGTTGTCAATATTTTTTTTCTGGTCTGCCTGTTGTTTCATGGGTGTTTTGGGAGTAGCTACACTGTACTGCTTTTGTAGAACAGCAAAGTATTTGTCTTCATACCATTTTTATTTTAAACAAATCCTAATTCTGTTACCATCTGCTCCACTCAACAGAGAGGAACTTCAAATAAAATCTGAGTCCTTCTCTGATAGCCACAGGGATAAATTTTCTAGGCTTAAGGCTATTTTTTTTAATTGTTGGTAAAACTAAGCAGAACATTTGTTATTAGAGAAACTCTCTAATTTTGAGACTAATAGATGACTTTATGGAATGAGTAGAAGTGGGAGTAAAGTGTATCTTACAGAATGTTTGGTCTAGTTGTTCTCTGTGGTATGGAAGAGACAGGAATTTTCGGGCACAGATAGATATGGAGTAATAATATTTTGGGTGCCTGATATCTCCCAACCCTTCTCCCAGCATCCTCACTGACAGTGCTTTGTAAACTTCCCTCATGCTATTGATCTCTCATTGCTTTTTTTTTTTAATGTTTTCCTGACAGCTAGCACCAGAGAACACTCTGATGTCCTTCCAGAAGGCAGTGGAGCAGAAGGTGTATGGAGTGCAGGCTGATGTGGTATTGAGGTGGGTCAGTGCTGGCTGCTCTGGGGCTGCCTGGGGATAATCCAAGCCAGGAATGGTCCAGCATATCCAGTGTCTGGTCACTGCAGCTTTTTCCCACTGGGAAGGGCTGTCCTGGAGAGCTCCTGCAGTAACTGCTGTCTGTCTCTGTCAGATGCTGCTGATTATTTCACTGAGGTGATGGTGAAAGGTAGACTTATCCAAATGAGGGAACCTGGATCTTTTTGTTGTCTTCATTTGCAAGAAGGCTGTAGTTTATCCTCGGGCCTGTTTTATTCCAGTAAAACACAGCCAGAGCTGCTTAAATGTGACAGCTTCTGGGATACCCCGGGTGCAGACAGAGCAGAGATTCCAATTTGACTTTGTTGCACAGGAGAGTTTTCACCAACCTTGACATACCATCCCAGGAATACACCAGGAGGAAGCCCTTCCTTCTCCTCTTCCTCTGGCATTAATATTTAGGAAAGGAGGAACCTGGTGACTGTCAGAAAGTCGTTGCTTGCTGGCAAATGTCAAGCTGAGTGGACAAGACCAATTAGAATTTAGAGGGGGTTATTTCCAGAGCTGTGCTCTGTTCAAGGAGTTTGGAAGTTCCTTAATATTCCTTAATATTCCTGCCCCCAGTTTCTCCCAGTACCACTTAGAAACACAAGAAAGACTCAAAGAAGGTGTTTTATTTTTTTCCCTGACTGCTTTGGAGATTTATGTTGATGGACAGATCCTAGGAGAACGAAGTTTTATTTTTAGTCACTTTCTTTTTACTTCATATAATTTTCTTTGAGAGAAAACTATTTAAAAACTGAAGGAATTTCTTCCACTGGTGAGTGGAAGGTCACTGTGGAAGGATGGAGTATGAATTAGGATGTATGTTATACAATTCTTGTTTTTCCCAAAATGAGTTCATCAGCTGCTGTGAGGGGACAAGTACTTGAGTGGCCAGCTCCCAGATGAGCACTTGGCTCACGTGGCTGAATCTACACTGGCCAAGGAGAAAGGTGGGCTTTGGGAGGAGGAGAGCTGGAAAAGCTCCAAGATCCTTCCCCATTGCCACTCATCAGCCATCCCAGAGGAGCACTCCAGGCTTAAACAATGCCCTTGATGGCCCAATTTCCTGTGCCTTCTCCAAGAGACTCAAGTGCCTTATGAAAAAGAGGATTCCATTGACTTTCAGACTGAGAAGTGGGATATTGGTGCAGCTGGCAGCACCCTCAGGGAGGGTTTGCAGCTCAACACCCCTTGCTGTCCTTATCCTTTGGGAAAATGCTCTTTGTTCCTGTGGCTGGATGGGTCCATCCCTCCTGGAATATTTCCATGTTCTTCTAGACACGTACCATCATGGGTGGGCAGCTTGGACACGCACTCAGAGCCATCACATCCTGCTCCACACCCACCCTACATCCCAAACCAGTTGAAAAAACCCAACCCAAGCCAGCTTTGCTCCAAGCAGCAGGAGCCTAGAATTGCTGCCTGTTCCTCTCTCTCTCCCACCCCCTCGCACATCTCTGCTTCTAAAGCCGTCTCTGATTGCTGTCTCTGAATTACTGCTTCAAACCTGGGCCTGCCAAGACCCTGTGGTTAGCCCTGGGTGCTGCTGGGAGGGAAGGATTGGAAAAGAGGGAGCAAATGTCAAGTGGCCTATAGGATTTCTGTGCTGTGGTTAAGGCTTAGCAGTGCTCTGCTCTTCTGTGAGATGTTAAACTCGAGTTCCTGGCACTTTTAAACATTCCACACTCTTCATTCTGCAGTTGCTTAGCATTTTTTTAAAAATTTTATTTTTAACTGTATTTATTAAACCCTTTGACTGCAGCAGTGTGGGATTGCCATGTCAGCAGGTTGCTTTGGGCTGGGGGAAGGAGTTGGCACAGCACAGGCCAGAAATAGCAAATAAAGATGCCAGTGACCTTTGTGAGAAGGGACTTCTGAGGGCAGTGGTAAAGCTGAGGCAACATTTGCTCCATCCTCTAAAACTGGGTTTCATTTTCCCTCTGGGATGTCTCCTAATTCAAATGGGATTTGTTATTTCACCTCATCCTGCTTTCAGACTTTTTCTGAGTCTCCTGTAAGGAACATGGGCTCCTTGCTTTGGAAAATGTCATTGCTACCAGAGTGGCTGCCCTGGCTTTGTCCTGATTCCTGGGTGCAGACAACTGTTCCCTTGCTTTTGATAAAAACTATCACTACCCTGTGTTTCACCACTGATCTGGTCACAGAAAATGGAGTGGAAGAAAGTTTAAAGATTTTTTTATGCTTTTCAGAACCATTATTCTGTAATATCCAGATGACTTAAAAGCCCCAGGGCATACATTTGGCTGCTTAGTTTCATCTGAGAGGTGTGTGGGTTTGTTTTTTTTTTTTCTTTTTTTTCTTTTTTTAAGCATGAACTTAACTCATGTGGGCATGAAACCAGTTTTCAATTGGAGAAGGCAATTTCAGAGCATTTTTGGTAGTTTGGAAGCCTTGCATCTTGCTGAAAGCCGGATGTTCACATGTAGAGTGAGAGGCTTTGAAAATTCCCCTCCTGATCTGCTGTGGAGAGTTTTGTGTGTGTCTGTGCATCCAGGGAAGCCTCTGATAGTTTTGGGAGCTGCAGAAGCTTTGATGAATATTCAGGGTAGGTGTTCTTGTCAAAGCCACCTGAGTTTTAAATGTTTGAGGGGCTAATGAGAAGAAGTGGATGAGGCATGGACAGTGTTGTGTCAGTGCAGGAGTGACCGCCAACACCCAGCAGGTGTCCAAGAGAGATTTTCCTCTTGAGGATGCTGGGGATTTTTCTAGGCTGGTTGAGACCTTCCCAAGAATTTTGATGTGAGAGAGGCTGGAGTGGGAAGGGGAATTTCTCTCCTCCACCTGTGACAGGGTCTGTGTTTGCAGCTATGATGGGGTGCCCTTTCTGATGCATGACAAGACTCTCAGGAGAACAACCAACGTGGAGGAGGTGTTTCCAGAGCGGGCCTACGAGCACTCCTCCATGTTTAACTGGACTGACCTGCAAAAGCTCAACGCTGGAGAGTGGTTCCTGCAGGTGGGTGCCATGGAGCCATGGGATCACAGCCCCTGCCCAGGTCCCCTTTGAGGGTGAAAGGTGTGGATCCATCTCCTTGGTGGAGTGGTGCAGCTGGACCAAGTATGCATGGAGCATGTTTAGTTCTGTCTCTCCTAAACTTAGGCTTGGTCTAAGCCATGTTGTTTTTCTGTGCCTCTTCTGGAAAAAAGGGCCTCAAGTCTGGCTGACACCACAATGAATATCAAGGCCCCCAGTTATAATCACTTTTTAAAATATGATTATAAAAAAGACAGAAAAAATAGTGTGTTGTACACTGTTCCCCTTCTTTCACATTTTATTTTGGGACAATCATCTCCACAAAGAAAAAGTAAGAAAGTCATTGCACTGGGGGAGTCTGGGATGGTTTGTAGCAGTAATCCTGGGATTTGTTTTGCTTGCAGAACGACCCTTTCTGGACAGCGGGCTCTCTCTCAAGGGCTGACTACTTGGAGGCTGCCAACCAGTCAGTCTGCAAGCTGGAAGATATGCTGGAGGTGATCAAGGACAACACATCCCTCATCCTGAACTTCCAGGACCTGCCAGCAGCTCATCCCTACTACAGCACTTACATCAACATCACCCTGGAAACCATCCTGGCATCGGGGATTCAGCAGCAGGCTGTGAGTTCTGTGGGGTTGGGGATATCTCCAAACTAGGTTTCTTTATGGTTTCCACTTGTGTGTCTCCAGTGGGGCATCACTGGAAGTTGTGCTGGGCACGGAGGTTGGAATGGAGCACCTGGTACAGCTCAGCAGAGGTTCTTTCTCTCTGGGTATAAGGAAACTGGTTCTCCCTCTTTTTTTTTAAAGCCCCCACTAAGGCCACAACAGAGATGGAGGAGAAGGGCAAGAGAAAAATCGTTCAAATGTAGATGTGGGGATGTGAAGTGGGATTTCTCCCTCAGGTCTTTGGTTCCCTATTGAAAATGCAGGTGGCTGCTTCTGTGCTGCTCTGATGCTTTGGTAGATGAGTGTCACTGAGTTATTAAGACCAGGCTGGTTGGGGCTTGGAGTTAGAGGAAGGTGTTGGAATGGCAAGGGGTTGGAATGAGATGACTTTCAAGGTCCCTTTCTACCCAAACCACTCTGTGATTCAGTGACCCACTTTACCTCTTGCAGCTGAGCGTGAGCTGTCGATTTGACGTGCTTTGGAATCCCGGTGTGAGCTCAGGGAATTCCATGCCCTGGGCTGGCACGTTGCCAGATTTGGGAGCCACATTTGTCATACCCTGTGCCCTGTCTCGCTCCCCCACAGGTGATGTGGCTGCCAGACACGGAGAGGCAGCTGGTCAGGCAGGTTGCTCCTGGTTTCCAGCAGACTTCTGGCCTCAAGCTGGACGCAGAGCACCTGAGGGAGAAGGGCATCGTGAAGCTCAACCTGCGGTACACCAAGGTCACCAACGAGGATGTCAGGTACTGCCCTCTGTCAGAGCCCTCAGCATCCTTTCCTGGGCATCCCAGCCTGTCTGCCTGCACAGGGGCATCTTTCCAGATGGATTTGCTCTTGAAAGCTTGAGCTGTGCAAGCTTTTCCCTACCCATCACTGGGAATCCGGGCTGTTTCTGGGAGTGCACAGCTGCCTCTGACATCTGTACGTGCTGTCTCAGGATATGATGAGCCTCTTTGAAATACAAATGTATGAATTGGCTGATTCTTATTGCACACACAGTTGTGGAAAAAAGTAAAGGCCTTTCACACTGAGTTCCCTCTGAGTTCTGCTTCATCCTCATTAGCAGCTGCCCTTTGCTTCCCTTTGTCTGCTCCAGAGCTGCTAGCACGGAATTTTGATTAGCCCAACGTCTGGATATGCTTTCAGAAATTTCTCTTTACAGAAAGAGAAACTCCTGTCCTGTATCATCTATTTAGATTGATCAGCTCTTCTCTGATGACCCTGGCACAGCAAGGGGTTCCTGTCCTGCCTGAGCCTGTATGTGAACTGTGTGGTGTTTTAGCTCCCAGCTTTGCCCCCTTTCCCAGTGAGGGCAGATTGTTTCTAGTAGGGCTTTTCTGGTTTTTAAAATTTAAATTAAACAGGTTTGCAGAAGAGAAATATCTCCAAAGGAGCTGTCTGGCTGCATGTTAGAGCTGAAGTAGGGAAGAGCTGAGCCTGCAGCTGTTTGAGAGCGTGGCCCTGTTTGGGGTGATCCATGGAGTGTCCTTGCATGGCTGCCAGCAGGCTGCTAGCTCCTCACCCTTAAAACCAAGGTTGTGCTTTACCTGCAGGGTAATCCCTGTTTATTTTTCCTTCTGTTTGCTCTGTCCCATGGAGAGAGCTCTGTGTCCACTCACTCATCTATCCCACTTTACCAGCCCCAATCTCCCATCAACCCCACCTGAGCTGTCTCCAAAATAAGAGGTGTCTCCTGAATGATTCTTGAACACTGTGGTGCCCAGCGAGGTGTTGCTGCAGCCCTGGTTTAACACAGTTCTCCCCAAATCCAGCACCTGGATGCAATATTGCTGCAACCACCCCTGCCCTTGAGAGCCCCTTTGGAGCACCTTGTTCCTGTTGTGAGCTGGGAGATGTCAATGTCTTGCACTGTGTGACCTTCCACCTCAAAGTGTTTTGCCAGTGTTAAATTGCAGGGGTTAATCTGTGCTGCCCGTGTGAGGGGGATTGTTGATGCTTCTGCTTCACAGATGAGGAAATAGAGTGATTTTTGTGAATTGTCTGGGTACCAGGTAATTGCCAGTGCTTGGTTTGCTGCTGGCTGCTCCTGGACCCCAGCTGCCAGTTTTAGCTGCTTGGAAATGATCTCAGGAGACTGGAAGCTATAACTCTGCAATTGTCCCCAAAACAAGGGCATAGAAGTTGTAGGAGGTGATTTTAGAGACAAGTCTGTCAGTGTTTAATTAAGCAGATTGCCCCAGAAATGTTACAGGCGTCTGAGGCAGATGCTAATTTTGCATCAGCACAATGAGATGGTTGTTCCAGAAACACACCATGTCCATCATTGCTGGGGAAGCATCTGAGATGGTCAGTGCCCTGTGCCAGGCAGCAGCCAAGAGGTGAGGAAAGCTGTCAGGATCAAACCATTGGCCTGCAGTGCCCTTGGGTTGCTCACGGGGTGCCCACGTCCTGCTGAAAACTTTTATTTCCCCACAATTCAAACCAAACTGTGGCTGATGGCAAGAGAGGAGGTTTGGTGAGGTCCTGCATGTCACCCTGTGTGTGCCTTGGCAGGGACTATGCTGTGGCCAACCTGAGTGTGAACCTGTACACGGTGAACGAGCCCTGGCTGTTCTCCATCCTCTGGTGCGCCGGCGTCCCCTCGGTCACCTCCGACAGCTCCCACCTCCTCCGCAAGGTGCCTTTCCCCATCTGGCTCATGGTAAGCACCACCCTGGGAGGGGCTGGGAGCCTCTGGCAGGAGGAAATGCAGTGGGTGGGTGTGGAGGTAAGAGATACTCCAGGGAGGTTTGCTTGGGCTTGATGGTTTTCCACCCTCTGTCCAGCTGAGCCCTGAGATGTTAATGAATTGATGCTGGTCTTGCACAGTCCCGTCGGTTTGGGTGGGATCCTTAAAGATTGCATTGTATTCCCTGGAAGAACACCTTTGCAGACGTGCTGAGCAGCTGTTAAGAGTTGCAGGCACACAGGTGAACCAGCAAAGCAGGCCTCTGTGTATTGGCCAAGTTGTAAAATGAGTTTTTTGCCTGTTCTGAATCTCAAATTGAGGACAGGTTTTACCTCTGGCTACCCTATTGCTGGACAAGAATAAGCAGAGACCCAGTGATGATGGTTCAGCTGGTGTGATGACCACTTAGATTGGCAACTGGAGCCAGACCTACCAGTGCCTGCAAGGACAGAAATCTCATTTATAGCATGGGGCTGTGCCTAAAAGGTCCCATCTGCACTTAAAATAGACCCTACATGGATATATTTCCCTGTTTTCCCCCAGACTTGGATTGCCAAACAGCATCTTGCCCTCACCCTGAGGTTCAGCTGAGATAGGAAACTTTCAGCCCAGAGAGCTCTGAGCACACCAAAAGGAGGGAGAGTTTCAAATTGTTCCTGTTTGCAGTTTTCCCTGATAGTTTTGGATGACAGCCTGGCATTAGGAAGGTCATAAATATTGTGATTTATACATAACCCCTGCAGCTCTGTGCTTTTCTTGCTCCTCGGTGGTAACTGCAGCCATGTGTGGTCTCCCTGTGATTGCACAAACCCAAATGTTTAAGGTCTGCTCCTGTTTTCTGTCTTGCAGCCTCCAGACGAGTACCACCTAATCTGGATCACGTCTGATCTCATTTCATTTCTTGTAATTGTAGGAGTTTTTATATTCCAGAAGTAAGTTTGTTACTGCTCTGCTCGTGTGTGTTTGTGACCTGTGTTTTTGTCCAGATTGTCGGGTGGAGATGGGAGAAAGGAGTACCCTGAGCCTCAGTTCTTGGATTGCAATAGCAGGGGAAATACTCATTAAAAAATCCTTGCAAACAATAATTCCACTCCCAAGACGGGATGGAGAATTAGATGCAGTTTTTAAGAAATAGAGATCACTAATTAGTAGTGTCAGATGCCTTGCTTTTGCTCCTAAAATATGTGGAAGAGAAACTGTAAATACTTTAGGGAAATGGATGTTGAAAAAGACATTACAGTGCTTTAAAGGAAGAAAAGGAGAGGGATTTTGAGATTTCACCATTACAGTGTTCAAAAAGAACATGTTACAGTTTTCTCAAATCAGTTTGTTCCTGTTTGGATGTAGAAATATTACAGAATTATGGAATGGTTTGGGTTGGAAGGGACCTTAAAGATGATTTAGTTCCAACACCCCTGCCATAGGCAGGGAGTTACTGTGGGAAATGTTATGATACTGCAAATCAAATCAGCTGCTTAGTTAGAAAGGAGAAGCTCTACTCCAGAAGTTGGACTTTTCTGCAGCAAAGAGCTTGCTTTTCCAGGAGCCTTGTGCAGGACAGACCACTTTCCCTGATGTTGCAGTTTCTCCACCACATGAAAGAGCTGCTGGCAGGGTTGAGGATATGTCAAAACCAAATCAGAGCAGAATTGCCCAACTACCACCTGCTGATGTGATTCAGCTCTGGGGAATGGGGCTTGGCATTTGGCCTTCAGTGTCATGGTTGATTTTTTTTGGTGTGTGTTGGTTGGTTTTGGTTTGGTTGTTTTGGTTTTTTTTTCCCAAGTCCTTTTTGGGGCAAACCAGAGCTGCTTCCTTCATGCAAGGATGAGGGGGTGGGTGGGAGCAGAGGCACTGCTTCGATGTGCTCGTGCTCTGTCCTCTGCATGGCTTCTCTCTCCTCAGCCATGGTAGGGACTGCTCCTGCTCTTCTGCTCCAGCCCCAGTGGCAGGATCGTGGCAGCCTCGCCAGAGGGGAAATACCAACTGTGATGACTTCTAACTAACCTTTTTTTGCCTCTTTGCCTTGTTTATTTTCTTACTGCTCTGACTGTTGTGCATGTTCCTCCTCTTTCTCTCTCTGCTGCATTCTGGCATCTCACAGCTATCACATGATCAGGTAATTCTGGTGCTTTCCTCCTCTTTCTCTTTTTCATTCAACCTTCCTTTCTCTCTTTCTTTCTCCCTCTCTGCTATGGCTTCACTGCAGATGGTCAGGGCAGGATGCAGCTTTTCTGATGCTTTCCAACATCTGGCTTCAGGAGGGGACCGTAAGGGTGTGAACATGACATAGTCTGTAGCCATGAGCACCAGGGAAGTCTGATGCTGAAGCCAGGGATGTTTAGAAGGCAATCTGATCTTCTGTTGCAATGATCTAAGTCAGTGCCTTTTAAAACAGCCCAGTTCTGAGGTCCCAGGGTACACTGTAATTGGGGAGTAATTCCACTGTAACTGTAATTCCCAGAGGATGTAATGCTTTCTCTGTGGAAATAATCCCATGCAAAATATCCCCTTCCTTCCTGTGTCTAGCAGAAATGTTTGAGACCAAACATCTATCCCAAAGAAAATCATAGAATCTATTCATTTATAGAAAGTAGCACTCCTCTAATTAATTCTCTGAATTAATGGGGCTAATAACTGGAAAGGTTTGGCTCATCAATTGGGATCTTCCTGAGTTGCATCACTGTGGAACTGGAAATAGTGTGAAAACAAAGAGCAGGGGAGGGAACTGAGGCTGGAGCTCTGGATTTGAAGTTCCATCAGTCAGAATCCCAGATTTCTCCTTGTTTTGTCCCTTCCCTCCCCAGTGATTCCCACCCCTTTGGAGGGAAGCTCTGGCACTTGTCTGCACTAAAGCCTTCACCACCTCCCCCCTCGGCCCCAGCTCCTCCCGTGTTCCCTTCTCCATTGCTCCTGCTCTTGCCATGGGCTTGCATTCCTGAGGGTTTGGTTGCCCCCTCCCTCTGCCCACCACTGCCTCGGGGTGGGCTCAGCCCCTGCAGGTGCCCATGGCCTCGTGGCATCTCCCCAGAGCAGGGCCTGGCTGCAGGGCTGGGCTGAGCCCTCCTGTGGGTGCAGGGAGGTCGGGGGTCTCCTCTCCTCACCTCCCCCTTGCTCGTGGATGAGGAGAAGGCAGGCTTTAGGCAGGACAGGCACAGGAGGGGGATTCTGCAGCTGGCTTGGCTCTGTGCTTGCTCCATCTTACCACCTCAGTGCCGATCAACCCCATTTTTTCCCTCGACCTGTCCCTGTTCCATGGCATTGAGCATCTCCCCTCCCGCCCCAGGGTCTGGCCATGGCCCTAACCCGGTGTATGCTGTCTCTGTGTTGTTGTCCCAGTATTTTTTAGTCTGTTCCCACCCCGTGTCCGTCTGGTCTGCTCTGACGCCAGCCTCCCAGAACAGGACCTTCCTGCTGTCTCTCTGGCCTTTTTGCACGCTGCTGTCCCAAACCTGGTCCATCACAACAGAGTCCAAGGGGGTAGGAGAGGTGCTCTTTTCTATTCAACCAGCTTTTTGGAGACCCCAAGGCTTCTGAGCACAGCACAGAGTGTGTCACGTGGCGTTGGTTGGAGCTGCATCCTGGTTGAATGTGCTGGTGGCTCCTCCGAGAGGGTATTTCAAAGCACCCCTGAGAGATGGGGTGACCCTCTCCCTGGCTCAGGGAGCAGTGCTTCCCTGTGAGAGGAGCCATCATCTCCTCGTGTGTGTTTTACCACCCTGGGTCTGCCCACAGCCACCACGGGAGGTGAAGAGCACAGGGCAGTGCTTGCTCCTCTTGGCAGGAGGAGAAAAGCCTTTGGGCCCTACACATGTTTGAGGCTGGGCTCTCTGTGCCTCAGAATGACTTGTGTCCTCCCTGGGATAGCTGGGGTCTGTGGGTTAAGAGGTCACTTTTGGCCACAGAGTGACTTGATGCTGAAAATCCTGGTGTGGTGGGCAAAGAAAAGACTTGTATCAATGTGTTTTGGTGCCGATTTAGAGTTTAAGGAGGGTCTTATCCTGTGAGATCTTGCAATCACATTGGTCTTAGTGGAATCTGCCTGCAGGGGATACTAAAGCAAAAATATGTTCTTCCAGGTCAGAGTGGCTCAGTTTAGATAATGATGATAGAAGAGACAAAAATTTGTTTTATACTTCAATGTTTTTGCCTCCCTGTGCTTCCTCTACATTGCTTCTGTCCATGGGTCTGTGAGTTGTGTTGTGTTGCCTTCCCACCCCTTCTTTTCTGTGTAGCCTTCATCTGTACCCTGGTCAAAACCTGATTCAGATCACCCACTGTCAAGCACTGGGACTTGGGAAGGGGGTGGAAACCCTACAAAACTGACACCAGCTACTTTTACCTGGGGAAAAAATTGCAGAACCTGCTTTGTGGATGTTGATTTGTCAGGCTGATGCCGTCGACCCAGGCTGTAGATTTGTGGACTCCTCAAATCTTCTGCTCCTGGGGCTGGCTAGGGGGTTAGAAATTGAAAAGGTGTTGTGATCACCTTCTCTTGTGTGGGTGAGCCACTAGATGGTGCCAGCAGATCAGAAACCTCGTAAGCCACCCTAAATCCCTGCTGTTTCTTTATCAAATAGTTTTAGGGCATCCCTGGCTCTGGCAGGGAGAGTGCTAATGGCTCAGTGGGGTGTGGGCTGTCATAAGCCTGGCCTAAACATCATCCCCTTGTGGTGGGAACTTGGGAACAGCTGCCTTGGCTGAGCCCACCAAGCCGTGTTTTCCCCTATTCCAGCAGCCCACCTTCCCCTCCTGATGAGGGTCTGCCACAGGGCTGCTTTCAGTGTCCCCAGGTGCCACATCCATGTGGCTGTTAAATCCCTCCTAAGATGGGCACTCCACCACTGCCCTGGGCAACTGTGCCAGGGCTGGAGAGCCCTTTTGGGAAAGGAATATTTCCTATACAAAATGTAAACCTCCCCTGGCACAATCTGAGGCCATTTCCTTGCTGTGTCTCAGGTTTTAAACTTTAAATTGTCTCTGTGCTCTCTTCTCCCACAAGCCTAACCATGGCACTCGGTGAGGGAAAATTTGTAGGTTTTTTACTTGGCTGGTTCTCTTATTCTGTTCCCTCTAAAAGTTTAAACACCTCTGCCTCCTTTGCACAACTGGAGAGGGCTGTGAGATAGCTGCAGCCCTTGTGGAAATTAATTCATGGATTTGTGAATCCATGGGTCTAATTCCCGGGTACAATTAGGGTGCTCAAGGTGCTTAAAGATGCCTGAGGTCGCTCATCTCTGAACATCCTCCTACCACGGGGGGTTGTGCAAGGGAGCAAAGGGTCTCTTGCACTGCTCTCTCCTGTGTCTCCTGTCCCTGAAATCCTGCTCCTGTCTTGCAGGTGGCGCCTGGGAAGCATCAGGACCTACAACCCAGAGCAGATCATGCTCAGCGCTGCCGTGCGCCGCTCCAGCCAGGATGTCAAGATCATGAAGGAGAAGCTGATCTTCTCAGGTAGGGATGGGGCTGCTGGGTGCCTCCCTCAGCTGTCACCCCACTGAGGGAGGAGCTGCTCTGGATTCAGGGCTCGTTTCCTCTGTGGGTCAGGGGACTGGACTGACCTTGCTGCGCTGCGCTCGTGGGGGTTGTGGATTGTGAGCCCTGGTTGTGAGGCTGGGGGGCTTGTTTTTGTGAATGGGATGGTCCTGAAGGTCCTTTCCAGCCCAAACTGTTCTGTGATTCTGTGGCCCATCCCAGCACTGATAAGCTCAGAAATCCTGCATTTAGCTTCCCAGGTTATCCCATCTCACACTGTCCCACATCTTCACTCGCCATTGTCAAAGGCCATAAAACCCACTAATAATGGCACATGTGACCACAAATATGGTGATGAGGTTGGGGTAGACCTGGAATTCAGTGGCATTAGAGGTTGTGGCATTCCTGATACCCTTGTGCTCCTCCCAGTGTTTATTTCTGTTGGAACACATTGGTAATGTGTCCATCACATGCCACTTCTAAAAAAAGATAGCAAAACTGTGAGCAAAGATGGAAATGTTTAGCTTTAAAAGGTTAAATGTGGTGCATGAAGCTGGAAAGCTCACCTTTGAAGGAATGTGAATATAATCCCCCCACCCTCTGAGCTTTGTTATGGGTTTTCTTTTTTTTTTGTATTTAGGGTCTGGAGATGCCCAGCAGGGATCAGGGTTTAGTGCTCTGGGCACAGACAGAGCAAAAAGGCAACTTTGATTATTGTGTGAAATGCCAGCCAGAGGTGGTGAAAATCATGTATAAATCCAGGGAGTCCAGACAAGGAAAACAGCTTGGCACAGCAGAATTAAGCTTCTCTAACATGTCCTAGACATAAAACATCCCAGACATAAAATCCCTTGTGGGTGGGGGGTGCAGATTGAAGTTTGTGCCTCTGAAACAACTATTCCTCCTTAGGGTGGATGTTTCACCATTAAAAACATGGGTGCAGGTTTTTCCCAGTGAAACCAGTGACTGGAGGAGCCAGTCCTTTCCAGGCTGGGTAGGGATTAGGTTCAGGTATTTGTACCACTCTCCCACAGGTGACTTGCCCAGCCTGTGACAATGACATCAGGTGTAGGGGGATGGCAGAGGGGATCCAGCTCTGCCTCTGGGGGTGCCCAGATTTTGTAGGGCTGAAACATAGAGCCGAGCTCCAAACTGGAGCTAGATCTTGTTCAGAACTGGTTGTAAATGAGAGCAGCGTTCCTATTTCCCTGTGGGATCGGAGGGATGCCACGTGCTGGGATCGCACTGCTGCTCAGCACCTCAGTTCCCCATCCAGGGGGGAAGCTCCTGTGATCACCTCCCTGCTTTCTCTGCCCTTCCCAGAGATCAACAACGGCGTGGAGCCCACAGATGAGCTGTCCTTCTGCTCCGAGAACGGCTACGCCAACGAGATGGTGACGCCCACGGACCCGCGGGCCGCCAAGCTGCGGCTCAGCTGAGGGCTCAGAGCCCTGCTCTCCTGCCTCCCGGGGCATGGCAACCTCTGAGGAACTGCTGCTCGGGCAGAAACCCGCTCCCACTCCCCACCACTGCCTGCTCCAGCTCCCTGGTTGTGAGGCTGGGGGGCTTGTTTTTGTAAATATGTAGAAAATCTGAATTTTTTTTTTTTGGTCTTTTTTTTTTTTTTTTGAGTGTAATTTTTCCAGGGCATGAGTGGAAATACCATGTTCATTAAATCTTCAACCTTATGGCTGAAGTTCTTTGAATCTTGATGTGAGAGCCTGAGTCCCCTTGGGGAGTTTTGGGAGCAACACGTTGGACCTGTGTCCCATTTCTCCCCCTTTCCCTAATCCAGTCCTTCCCCTGGTGCAGCGACTGTGTAGCTGAATGTTGTGATGTTCTTGTGAAGTGCTGATTTTGTTATGGTTTCTTTTGTTTTTCCCCTGTTCCCCTTTCCCTGGGCAATGAAATTGTAGCTCTGATGCAACAGGAGGCTGTTGGGAGAAGAGAAGCTTGCCTAGGAGAGGAATTCTCGCTGCCCTTCCCTGCTGAAGTTCAGAGCCAGGGAAGGACTTGCACTGGCTCAGTCACTCGGGCGCCTGCTCCTTGTCCCATCCTCCTTCCCCAAAACCTGGATGCTCAATGGGGAATGGCCTTCTCGGAATGTCCTGCCAGAGTTTTGAAGACAAATCCTGAGCATTGGCTGTAGATTGGTCTCTGCTGGCAGCAGTTCTTGATTTCTATTTTTTTTTCCCCCTTTTTTCTCTCTTCTCCCCAAGCTGGGCTCTGTTGGGAGCCTGGGTGGCTTGTGCCAGGCAATGCCATGGGCACCACCACTGCTGGGATCTGGCTGAAGTGCCTGCCACTCCACGTGGCATTTGCAGTCACTCCTTGCTTCCCTTCTGGAAGAGGAGGTGGTGATGCAGTGGGAGTTTCCCCCTCTCTGGGCCCAGGAGTTGCCCATGGGTGAAGAAGTTGTAAATAGTCTGGAAGGCAAAGCAGCCCTGGGATTTAATTTATTCCTGCAAGGAGACCTTTGCTCCTTGCTGTAAAAGCAGGATCTTTAATAGCTGCACATTTGTGTCCTCCAAAGGAGTGATGGTCTTGCAGCAGATGCTGACGGGCTCTGAAGGAAGAGGCTCCCATCAGCAGGTTTCCAATGCAAAAGGCTTTAACCTAAAATCTTAGGCCAGAGGTTAAAAGTTAAAAAAAAAAAAAAGGTAAAAAAAAGAGGAGAAGGCAGTCTTGGGGATGCTGATATACATCATATTCCACACCCAAAGCCACGAGAGAAACAGCCCTGAGCAGTTTCTTCTTTGTTTTGGAACTGCTCTCTCCTTTTAAGCTGAAATCCAGTGGCATTTTGAAACCCTGAAGTTTGGGCTTATTGTCTAAGAATTGGGGGCAAAAGTGGCCAACTTAACTATACGAAAACCCCACGTTGCTAATGACAATGTGAATTTTAATGCTTTAGAAAGCACCACCTAAAATCAAGACTTTATTCCTTTGCATCTTCCCTGGGTTTTTGTGAGTGTAAGTGGAATAAGCCCCTCCTCTTACCTTCCCCAAACACTGTCCTTCTTCATGGTCCTCTCAAGTCCATGAAATACAGCGTGTCTTGTTCTGGAGAACTGCAAGATTTTGGTGGATTTGAAGGTATTCTGAGAACTAAGTTGCTTCTCCCTTTGATGTGGTGCTGTATTGAACCATTCCTGGTGGATTGTCATTGCCAAGTGAGAGATGTTGTTAAACCTCAGCATCTGTTGGTGATCACCTGCATGTTCTGTTTCTATCCTTGGAGATCACTTTATTGAAAGGTTAAGTGCTTAAAAGCTTGGAAGTGATAAAAGCAAACCAAGAAAGAGTTGTTTTCACAATTAACTTTTTTCTTTTTTTTTTTTTTAAACAAGACCCAAATTTCATGCATAATGCACTGACTGTTATTGTCCTAAATATTTGCTACCTTTTTTTTTTTTTTGGAAAAAAAGCAGAGGATGATACTTTTTTGATGAAACTAGAGCTAGATCAAAATCAACTCTGCAATGCTCTGTGAAATAAACTGTCAGTATTCCCCTGCCAGTCTGTTGTTGTTTTGTGTTATGGCACTACACAGAGGCTCCCACTGCCTGAGCCGGAGGGTTTCCCTTTTCTGTTCTGCTCAGCACCTGGCAGCTCGTTTTAACCCCAAAGGTTGAAAATCCCCTGGGAGCAGTTGGAATCAGGAGCAAATCACACAAAAGCCAGGCTGGGAGAGAATACAAGACGTTCCAGAGACTAAATTTTCCAGAATGCATTTTTAATTTAACACAGAACCCCTCTCTTCCCCTCAGACCCCATATCGTTTAATTTGGGGGTTTTCTCAAAAATACTTCCCTGCCTAATCTGCAAAAAACACCTCCAAATGATTTCGGGGGGCTTGGGGATGGGTTAAGTTGGTCACATGGCAGGAAATCCCTTATCTCTCGGCTTCACTGAGAAGCGCAACGTGAATAAATAATGACAAATAAATAAAATATGAATAAAAAATGACAAATAAATAAAATCTATAAATATAATACAATAAAAATATAATATATATAAATTCTAATAATACAATAAAAATCTAGTATAGTGTATAGTATAATATAATATAATTATATTATACTGTATAATAGAATATAATAATATAATATAATTATATAGTATAATATGATATAATATAGTAATATAATATATATGGTATAATTATATAATATAATGTAATATATATAATATAGTATATATAATTATATTATATATAATATAATGTAATATATATAATATAGTATATATAATTATATTATATATAATATATTATTATATATTATATATTATATGTAAAAATATAATCTAATAAATAAATTTTATTTATTAAAGCCCCAGTGGCTGCTCTGCAGCGCCGCGCTGTGTCCGCCAGGCGGCGCCCGAGGGACTTGGCAGATCCCGATCCCGGTCCCGATCCCAATCCCGATCCCGGTCCCGATCCCAATCCCGGCCGTGATCCCGGTCCCGGTACCGCAGGCTCGGGACCCGCACCCCGCCCAGGAGCCAGCGGCAGGACCGGACCCGATCCCCCAGTCCCGGAGCGATGCTCCCGCGGCGCAGAACGGGAATTGTGTTTTTTTCAGTGCCAAACCTTCAACCTCCAGCCGCTCTTCCCATGGCAAAGCTACTGAGATACAAATCCACTGCTGGTGTGCGCCGCCCCCGTGTGAACCACAAACGCTGCGCTGGGTATTTCCCTTCTCAGCTACAGGTAGCCAAACGTTCCCGGGATGGCGGAGTCTCAAGCTAAACCAAATCGTTTCCAGCAAAAAACCCGACGAGGAAAATGTGCCAGCGCGGAAAGCTGTTGCTGACCTTCCCCCTGACAAGTGATAACTTGAAAAATTTCCAGCTACATCTTACAGAGACGAACGAGGACAAAACGTTGGCAAATATAACCCTTATATTTGCAAACCTCTATTCACCCCGCAATCAAATGACAATTTTCTTTCCTTTCCAGCCATGCGCCAGCACTTGGGATGCTCGCGGAGTCTGGCACACAAAAACGTGCCAGGACACGCACACAGATGCTCCTTTTGCCTTGCTGCCTTCCATGGGCACACCACACCCCGGGGCTGTGCACCTCACTTTTTTCCACTTTTCCAACCTTAAAACGTCCAGCATGTGCTCTCAATAAATTAAAGTAATTAAAAAAAAAAAGTTGTAGAACAAAAAGCCAGCTTTGGCGTTCCCCTGCTGCCTATAAAGGCACCGAACAAACGCTGCTGTGCACTTTTCCCTCTCAGCCTCCTCATCACGCCTTTGCAATCCATCTAAACTGAGAATTGCTGAGCTGCAGCTGGCACAGATAAATCGCCAGGACAGAGAAGCTCGCTCGGACCTTGCCCGTTACGTTGGGGAACTTTTAATTTGGATTACACACAGCCAAGTGACAGTCACCGTGTCCTTGCAGGTCCTGAGCTGCTGTCCAGTCGCGCTCTGGCACTCAGCTAAATGTCACCCACTTTCGGTCACCAAATTTGTGCCAGGACAGAAGCAAGAGGAGGGTGATGCTTTCCCCTGGTACCACACCCCGGGGTTCTGTGCCTTCCTCCTCAGCTCAATTCCACCTGCAAAATTCAATACATCCCAGGATTGCTCCCACACAAAAGCCACCACCACCAACCTCAGAATTCAATATTTAAAGTCCTTTTAATCCAAACCATGCTATGATTCTGTGATGATTCGATGAAGATTCTATGAAGTATTTGGGGGGGGGGGGGTTTGCCCACAGACATCAAGGAAAATGTAGTTCTACAATACGATATGTTTAGTTTCTTTTTGTGTATCATTTAGATCCTTGGCACCCAAATAAGAGAGAAAATAAGTAGAAGTGAGTTGAAATCAGAAGTGAGTGAAGAAATTGAGGTGGATCCTGATATGAAGCTGTAGGAAAGGTACAGGAGTAAAAAAAAGTAAGAAATAAAAACTAATCACAGCAGGAATAAAAAATGTAAGAAAAAAGACACAGAAAGGTGGGATGGAGAAATTCAGGCCGTACAGAAAATTAAATGCCCTCTTAATCCTTAAGCTCTTCCTTTCAGGTCAGCCTAGAAGAATCCCAGCAGGAAACAAATTAAATCTTGCACCTTTTCAGGTTTCACTGAGGAAAGAAGCTCCTGCATTATTTTGGCAACCTTTTTAAACACCAAATTTACCAAAGACACATTCCCTGCCCACATAATTTGGGTTCCTACCTGCAGCTTCAGAGATGTGTGGATATACCAGTCCTACGTGATCTGCCAGCTCCAAACCGCCCTTGCAAGGAGCAAAAAGCTGAAATATACTGAGGGCTGGATATTTATGCAACTGAAACTCGCCCCAGGTGTTTAAGGTTCGCATTTTATCCAGGAGGCAGCTGCAGGCAATCAGGAGAATGAGGTGTCTTCAGCAGGTGATTCATTGACCCATCAGCTCTCGAAAAACCAGCCTGTAATGGGTGCTTTTTAATTTAGTAGCTGAGTCTCAGACAGCCTAAACAAAGCACATTATAAAAGAGATGTGCCAACACCTTGTATTGCTATCAAGATCAGGAAATTTCGTATTTGTCTGCCCTAAAGAAAATAGCAAGGAAAAAAAATAATAATATTAAAAAAGGTAGAATTAAAAAAAAAAGCCCAAGTAACAAAATCCCAGACCTTGAAAAATCAGATCCTAGTTCCTGTTCAGATAATATTTTTATAGGCAGTATTATTCTCTTTCTAGCAAAGTATTTTAAGTCAGAGAACACCGACAGCATAGGCAACATGACTTATGTAGCTTTTATTTGTTTTCTTGTTTGTTTTCATGGCACCAGGGTGAGTTGCCCCTTGCATGATGGTCCTTTCAGTGGCCTTAAAAAACTAACAAACAAAAACCCAAACAAACATAAAAATCCCACAACAACCCCCAGCCCCCCGCCAAAAAAAAAAAAAACCTCCCTAAAACCAAGGCTGCAAATTGACAGTAGCTTGAACAAAAGGCAGGAACCAGTTGCTCTGCTGCCAAGTATCAAATGGTATTTTTGTTACCATGCATGCCTGCATACCTAAACCTCAAATTCTGCAGAGAATTTCAAGCAAAGAAATGAAAAAAAAAAAAAAAAATCTCTATTTGCTTGGTGTATAAATACACAGATAGATAGACATACAGATATCAGAAGAAGAGGGGTGGGGGGGGGGGGAATTGTCTTTCTTGCACTTGTGTACAGCGTGACTACTAAGTAACACAGATTTTTAAAGAAATAGCTTCACATTCCCAGATGATCAAAAGAATGTTAAATGCTGTCATCTAGTGCAGTCAATACCCAAATCTGAATGTACAGTGCTACTGATTAATGACATCAATTAATCACTGGTTTTACATCAGCTAAACTAAAAAAAAAAAAACAAAAAAAACCCCACACAACAGCAAACCAGACCAACGAAAAGCAAAAGAAAAAAAAAAAAAAAAAAAAAAAAAAAACCAACAAAAACCAACCAAACAAAAAACCCCAAAAAACAAAAAATAACCCCACAAACAAAACATCCAAACGAAACCAAGAAAACCACAAAACGCCACATTTTTTGCACAAGTTTCGGAAGGGCAGGCGGCTTTTGGCTCATTCTTGACGCTTTTTTGGGTGAATTTAAAGCAGAAAGGAGAGCGCCGTGCCCTTGCTGCCCCCTGGCGGCTGCGGGCCGCACCTGCACCCTCCACACCAGCACGCCTCATTATTTAAAATGTAATTAAAGTGTCATTAAAATGTCATTAAAGTGCAATTAAAATGTAATTAACCACAGGCTGTAGGAAATAAGGCTGTGGTGGCCGTGGAACCCATGCAGCGACCCTGAACTTTGCCCTGCAGCGATGCTGTTCACGTGCTCCGTCATTGCTGGTCAAAAACCGGGATTTTTAAACGAATTTAAATTTAAGCTTAGTTTAAAAGTGTCTTCTGTACGTGTTAATACTGTATTTATTTATGAAAGTTGATTGATGTTGCTGTGCTCAGGACAGGAGGGACAGGGGGCTGTCAGAGCGGATCCAGCTGAGGGATGCAGGGATGCTGAAGGCTTTGGAGCATCTCCCTGCTGAGGAAAGGCTGAGGGAGCTGGGGCTGTCCAGCTGCTTCTGCAGCCATTCAAGCGAACAATACAAATTTCAATGCACAGGAACCTCTTACTTTATTTATAGCTTCACAAATCATGCAGGAGCTTTTATTTTTGATAAACACGGATGCTGATGCTTACCAAATATCCTGTATTTGGATTGTTTTGCTAAAAATAACTTCAGAGAAAGCAGATCCAGCACTGGTAGTGATTATTCAGACAAACCCCTGGCTTGGCTATAGCAGAGGATCCCTTTTGAACCTGCAAATTTCTCCCAGAACTCTGTTTTATTAACTGCACCCACAGTGCTGCTCAATCAGGTGTTACACATTAACTTTCATTTTCCCCACCTTTCTGTCTTAAAAAAGAGAATGGGCTTGACTTTGGTTTTCTTTGATGTATAAGTATTTAGAGTACAAAGTTAAGAACCCAGAGCATCTGCTGCAACAC